GGTGTCATCCTTGACTCTTCACTCTCTCCCACCCCTCATATCCAATCTGTTGATGAGGCCTATCAATTTTGACTTTGTAAAATCTCTAAAATATGCCCCCTTCTCTCCTCTGAGAGTGCCCCCATCATAGTGCAGGCCTTCATCACCTCACACCTGGACTTTTGCAATAGCCTGTTGATTGGTTTCCCTGCCACAAGTTTCTCCCACTCCACTTCATCCTCCACTCAGCTGTCAGGGTGATTTTCCTAAAGGCCAGGCCTGATCACATCACCACTCCCCTGCTTGATAAACTTAAGTGGCTCTCTATCACCTCCAGGATCAAACATAATATTTTATTTTTAAAGCCTTTCATAACTTGCCTCCCCCCTTTCCAGTCTTTTTGTACTTTACATATAGTCTTCAACTCAATGACATCGATGTCTTTACTGTTTCTTGAACAGGACACTTCATCTCCCAACTCCATTGTTTTCACTGGCTGTCCCCCATTCCTTGAACACCCTTGCCCTTTATCTCTACTTCCTGAATTCCCTGGTTTCCAGCAAGTCCCAGTTAAAATCCTACCTTCTACAAGAAGGCTTTTCCAAGCCCTCTTAACTCTGGTACTTTCTCTCTGTTAATTTATTTCCTGTTTATCCTTTATATGACTTATTTGTATAGAACTGTTTGCACTTTGTCTCTCCCATTAGATCATGAGCTCTTCCATGGCAGGGATTGTCTTTTGTCTTTCTTTCTAGCCTAAGCACAGTGCCCAGAGTATAGAAGGCACTAAATAAATATTTCTTGACTTTTGACTAAAACAGCTCTGTGAAATAGGTATTGGAAGTATTTTATATATGAACAAACTGAGGCAAAGAGACATTAAGTGATATACTAAGTCTGCACATCTAGTAAGGAGTCAAGCTGGGACTAAAGCCCAGATCTTCTTTCCTCAAAATTCAAGTGCTGTTTTTTTTTAAATAAGCCATACACCTTCTAGGTAGTAGAACAAAAGGGGAAAAAGCAACCAAAACCAACCCAATAACCTTTAAAGTTCTATACAAACAAATATGTATTATTCTGGCAAGTCCTATTTAAAGCAATTTAAGTTGCTTCCATCACCATAACCATCAAAGATCCAAAACTGATATCTTCTTTTATAGAATTTTTGAAAAGTGCTTTGTTCCATTCAGACAAGGGCATTGAAAGGGAAGCCAAAGCATAATCTGATTTTCAGTCATTCCTACAGATCCAGTTTGAAAGAGTCAAAAAGATTACTCAGTTATGATCAACTCTTCAGTTAGAATGCTAATCTCTGAAGATCTCTATCTATCAACTTCCTTTAGCATTACTCTCTCACAGTTATGCAAAAAGAAATAGGAATGACAGTTCCAGCTTTAGGAGTTGAAAGAGATATATGCCCAAAAGTAAGAGTGGTTGATACAGTTCTGGGAACACTAGCAATAGCAATAAGACCAGAGAAAGAAATCAAAGTTTGCAAAGATAGAGAAAGAGGAAATAAAATTATCCCTATTTTCTGATGACATGATGGTTTACTTGGAAATTCCTAGGGAATCAACAAATATACTAATTGAGACAATAGTTTCAGCAAAGTTGCAAATTGAGCCCTCAGAATTAGCACTCAGAAATTGATAACATTTCTAAATAATAATTAGAAATCTAAGAGGCAATACTAGAAAGGTAAATTTCATTCCAAATAGCAAAAAAATTTCATAAAGTATCTGAGGATCAATCTACCAAAGCTCATAAAAAACTTCTGTAGATTCAGTTACAACATGCTTCTTAAAGAAATAAAGAATGACTTAAATGGATGGAAAGATATTCAGTGCTCATGGCTGGGCCATGCCAATACAATAATAAAAGAGTGTGCTACCAAAGCTAATATGCATTTTAATGCCATGCCAATCAAATTATCAAAAGAACATGTAGAACTTGATAAAAATAATGGCAGAATTAATTTGGAGAAATAAAAACTCTAGAATATCAATGAAACGATGAAAAGAGATAGGGATGAAGGGAGAATAGCACTTTTACACTTCAAACTATATTATAAAGCAGCAGTCATCAATACCATCTAACATTGGTTAAAAAAATAGAGAGAGTTAAATCATGGAACAGACTAGATAAAAGAGAATTAGAAACAATGGAACTCGATGACTCATTATTTGATGAAATGGAAAAAATAAATTATTTAAAGCTGATGGGAAAACTGGGAAGAAATCTGGCACAAATTAGGCTCAGACCAACACCTTACACCATATTCCATATACATTCTAAACAGATACATGACCTTGATATTGAAAACCACACTATAAAAATTAAGAGAAGTAGATTATATACCAATTAAAGCTATTGGTAGGAGATATATTCTTAATCAAATAAAGAATAGTGGCAATTTCAAAAGATAAAATAGACATTAATTACATGAAACTGAAAAGCTACTATACAGATAAAACTAATTCAGTTAAGATAAGAAGGGAAATCATAAAATGGGGGTTAAAAAAAAACCAAACCTCTGTCTACTGGCTGTTGCCTTACTGCCTGAAAACATACCCATGTCCCCACAATCTTCAAAACATACTCACTTGATCCATCAACTTCTGCTATCACCTCATATCTCTCTTGACTTTTGTGGCTAAACTTCTTGAGAAGGCCATCTACAATTGATGTGAACTATTAAATACCACATGAAAGGATGTCTCAAATCACTAATAATAAGAAAAATGCATATCAAAACAACCTTAAAGTTTTACCTCATAACTCTGCAAATTGACAAAAATGACAAAAATTGTCAATAGTCGGTGTTGGAGGGTTGTGATCAAATAGGCATGCCGATGACTTATTGATAGAGCTGTGAATCAGTACAATCATTTTGGAAAGTGATTTGAAATTGTGCAAATAAAGTGACTAAAATGTCCATACCCTTTGACCGAGAGATTCCATTACTAGCTTATTATATCCTAAGGAGGTCAATGATAAGAAGAAAGTCCCCTTATAAGTTAAAATATTTATAACAACATTTTGTGATAAAAAAATGAAACAAAATAGATGTTCATCAATTGGGAGATGGTTAAACAAACTGCAATACATAGTAATGGAATATTACTGTGCTGTAAGAAATTTTGAATGTGATGAATACAGAAAAGCATGAAAAGATCTGTGTGAACTGATACAGAATTGAATAAGCAGAGTCAAGAAAAAATATACACAACAGAGTACAACAATGTAAAAAGGGGAAAAGCCACACACACAATAAAAAATTAATGCTGTAAAATTATAAATGACAAGCATGGCTTGAAAGAAGAAATGAGAAGATACTCTCTACTTTTTTACCTCTTACATTTTCTGACTTCTTCAATGTACTAATCAATTATGCAGATTTTTTTCATCTTTTTTGCCTTTAAAAATGTCATTGGATCTATGGGATGGCTCTCTGGGAGGGGGAGGAGAAAGGTACTGGAGGAAACTATGTTGTAAAAGATTAAAGACTTCAATGAAAACTTATTTAAAAAGAGAAAATGTTCTTTCTCTGAGTTGTCCAGGAAAAAAATAACTTTCCATTGAGAGGCAACTCTGCTAAGCTTTCAAATGATCAGGAGTAAAAAAGAGAGTAATTCATTGTCAATAAGAAGGAAGATTCTGACATATTGTCAGAGAAGGTAGTACATGTCCATTGTTGATATTACAGTACAAAAAATAACAGCAACATGAGAACAAATAAAATAATGAAATGAACTATCATAAAAGTAGCTACTGGAAAGAAGGAGTGTCTAAATTTCTGTTTCCCATAGAAAAGAGTTTAGGGTAAATAGTTTGATTTTGCTTTGTCCTAACTCTAGTATTAGGTAGAGTCCAAGCAGTCCCCCTTTCTGTAGCCCATCAAAGTACCAGATTAGCCTAGTACTACTAGACCAATCTTTTTTAGAAACAGAAATGTTACAGAAGTGTGGCCAATGATTCACCCTCAAATCCTTGGTGAAGAGTAAGAATTTGGGAGACAGAAAATTGTTTTATCATTAAGCACCTTAAACATCTTTCACTTACTCTGAGAAAGAAAGTAAAATTGTTGCTTCTCTGACATTTTTAGCTAAAAAGTAGGCATCTCACAACCAGAACAAGAGAAATGAGGGAAAAAAGGCAAAAGAAGAGAAACAGAAAAGAGTTCAATTAACTTCTGTAATTTAAGGGCAAGAGAGGCTCTATTTAGAGGTTTCTGTGGTTCACACTTTGCAGTGAATGAAAGACAGAGAACCACGTGTTGGGGTGTATTTAATGAGGCATCAAATTGTCAGGAAGGATGGGTTCTGAATGATGGAGAAAAACATTTACAGTGGCCTGTGTTTAGTCTTAGAACAAACATGAGCCTCACCTTAGAGGGAGAGTTCTGGTCCCTGAGTTCAGGCTGACCACCAGCCCTGGAGTTGATTTCAGCAGCGAGGCTGCCCTTCAGGTCTGCTGGGTCTGTCTTCAAAAAAGTGAACTCGCTCTGTCCTGGATCCGAAGCAAGACACACTTCGTAGGAATATGGCAATGGTAATGTCCCATTACTGTATTTACTAGTGACTCTGGGTCCCAGGCTAGAATAAAGGTCAGTGGGAAGAGAATCCAATACTAGGGGCTGTTTGGGTTTTCGGCACTTAAAAACCAGCACAAACACTGCGGTTAGAAGGAATACAAAAGATACTAAAGCTAATGCAATGACCAGAAAAAAATTAACTTTCCATTGCATGGATAAATTTTCGGAGAGCTCCTCTTTCATCTCAGGCAGCGCCTCCTGCAGGCTATCTGCAAAGACCAGGTGCAGAGCCACAGTGGCGGACATTGGGGGCTGCCCGCCGTCCTGCACCGAGACCAGAAGTCGGTGCCGGGTAGAGTCTCGTTCAGTTAAAGCCCGTGCGGTCCGGACCTCACCTGTTCGCAGCCCCAGGCTGAAAAGTCCCGGATCCGTGGCCTGCAGTACGCGGTAGGCCAACCAGGCGTTGTGTCCCGAGT